AGCTAAATATTTTAATCCAATTAGACAAGTGAACAAAACACTGAATATTACATGTAGTGTAGATCAGTGGTTCTTGCCTTTAAAAGACTGTAATTCCGTCACATTACAACCCCAAATGTCAGTGTTGTCTTTATTTTTAACACTTTCAAACATGAGGCAGCCAGAGGCTCCACTCTCTGCTGTTGGTGACACTGTCTGTCCTTTGGGAATTCTTAAAATCTATTTACCATGGAAACATGGTTCATATAAAACACAGACCTGCCTGTGTGGAGAGGAAGTTCTGATGACTCAGGGGACTTGAGAAAGCTGGAAGATGACAAACTCAGACCCCATGGTTAGGAAGGAACCCTTGGGCTTGGGTGCGCCCTGGGGAGGCGAGGCGGCACCTCAGAGCCAGGACCTCCACCCCAGCCTCCTGTGTGCTGGGGCCTCCCTCTCCCCCTCAAGTCCAGCTAGAGATGCTGTCTTATGGAAAGTCCCACTTCGTGTCTGCAAGGCGGCCTTCTCTGTGGCTACCTTACCATTTCTCTGGTTTCTACGGCCCCGTTCCTTTCTCGGAGCCCAGAAGCAGCAAAGCCAAGGCCTGCAGTGGAAGGGAAGGAGGGCTTTGAACTCTGACTGCCTGTGGCTGCTGTTGTCAGAGGCCCAGCTGGGCAGCCAGGAGGGAAGAGTGGCCGCTGCCCTGGGATGGCTTTAACCATGAGCTTCTGCCCTGCTCTGCAGCTGACAGAGCAAGGTTCCTGGACAGGCCTGACCTGGAGGGGATGAGGCCCTCAGCGAGAACCTCAGTCACTGTGCCGGGGACAGCAGGGCCGCGGGGGCCTGAAGGTGGCCGACCGCCCCTCAGCTCTGTAGAGGAATACTCCCTTCTAACAGGTGGGCGGTCCTGCTCGAAGCCTGTGCTTCCACAACGTTCCGCCCAGCATGCTGAGGGCACCTCCTCACTGCACTGGTGGCAAGCCAGAGCTCACGTGGCTTATTTCATCCAGGTTTCCTGCCCAATTTGGCAGGTTAATTCCGTAGATATCAAACTGGCTCCCCCTCATCTGCTAGAGCAAGCAGGAGAGTCCTGCATGGGAGTCTGGACTTTGAGGTCAAACTGCCTGGGTTCGAATCTCAGCTCTGCGTCGCTTCAGAGACATGTGTTAGCTTCCATGTCACTTGATTTCTGGCAGAGAAAAAGAAAAAAGAACCAGCTTCCCTTTAAAAGGAAGTGCCTGATATCACCCAGAGCCCAGCACGGATGGTTATGAAACCAGCAGGATTAGTGCTGAGATCATTGTGGGCTTGAAAGGGCCATTTGAGATAAATAACCATTTTGTACATAGAAAAATAAGGCTCAGAGAAATGAAGTGAATGGAATTGGGAAGTGGCTGGGCAGGGAAATGAACTTCTTCTCAGGCCACAGGATGTGTGGATGGGGGCAGGTACCCGAGCGGGTGCGGGCGGAGCCGGGCCTGGCTGGAACAGCTGCCGAGCCCTAGCTCTGGCGCCCAGAACACGAGGCGGAGGCGGGAGGCGAGCCACCAAGCGAGGCAGGGGCTGCCCTGGAGCTCTGTCAACTCAGGGCCAGCTTTGAAATGCCCCAGATGGAGATGGGGGAGGGGTCTGCCCTCTCCAGTTACAAATGGATGCTTTATTGCCAGACACACAAGGAACCAGGACCATGTTTTGACTTGGCCAAACAGAGGCAGCACGCCAGTGACAGAGCAGATAGTGGGGGGGAGGGGATGTTACCTTCAGAAGGGCTGGCTAGAGCCACCCACAGAGAGAATGAAGTGGGAAGCCCGGGCAGGTCTCCCGTGAGCAGGGGCGAGGGGTGCCACCATCTCCCCGGGCTGCCACTTCTGGCCTCTCTGGCTGGCTTGGGAACAAAGCAGCAGAAAAGGCTGGCTGGACCCCACAGCGTGGTTGCCCGGGGAACAGTTCAGGTCACCCAGAGCAACTCATTTCTTACACTCAGAACTTAACAAACTTCAGAAATGAACGAGGCAGGGTTTGTGGAGAGAAGACTAAAACGAGAACAAAGAAAATGAGTTAGCAGCTGTGTGCCTGCAGCTGGGGGTGCATTTCCGCCACCTGTGGACAGCACGGCAGGGGAGCCGTGGCCAGTGTGCTGCGGGGCAGCCACAGGAGGGCCACAGCAGGGCCATGATGACAAATGGAAGGGGCAGAAGGATGGGAGACACTGGCTGAGGGCTCACGTCCCGCTGGCATATGCACGCGCTGCTTTCCTGGACAGCGAGACCACGGCCACTGCGGTGCTGATGACAGGACCTTCTGGAAATAAGCATCATGGATATCCCTAACGGCAGATAAGCCAGATGTGGGCAGTAACTACGACTTCTGTCTCGGGACATGCTGCAGGGTCAGAGAAGTGTGTGGTACCGAAGAGTCAGCAAACGGAGGCGACAAAACGGTGAGCTCCTAGGATAGATTATCCAGCCCCCCAGTGCTGACTGAACGCTCTCCATGGGCCAGGCACGGCTGCAGGCCCGGGGGCTTGCGCAGCGGACGGTGAGTTTGAAAGTGGGGATGGGTAGAGAGCTGCTCACCTGAGCCGCGTGAAATTCAAAGCCCGTGCAGACGGTCACGGCCGGTCTGCCGCAGGAAGGAATCAGGCTGACTTCTATTAGTTCCTGGTGAGGCCCACACATCGGTGTCACTCCCGTGCAGGCCCACGGAATGAGGTGGTCACCTGAGTGCCAGCAGCGAACAGCTCCGATACTGACAAATTGCTAGGTGGCCTGGGAGCCCACAGGCATTATGTAGACTCACCATGAGAATTGCCTGTTTCCTGGAGCTTATCAGAAAATTCCATAACACGTTTTACTTTTATTTCAGGTTTTCACGCCTATTCTGTATTGTGTGTGGGGGGGGTGTGTTTTCTACCCAAAATTCAATTCTTTTTTTCATTTTTTTTTTTAAGAGACACGGTCACGCTTTGTCACCCAGGCTGCAGTGCGGTGGCACGATCATAGCTCACTGCAGCCTTGAATTCTGGGCTACAGCAATCCTCCTGCGTCAGCCTTTTGAGTCCCTGGGACTACAGGTGTGCACCACCACACGTGGCTAATTTTTACAATTTTTCTGTAGAGATGAGGTCTTGCTCTGTTGCCCAGGCTGGTCTCCAACTCCTGGACTCAAGCGATCCTATTGCCTCAGCCTCCCAAAGCGCTGGGATTACAGGTGAAAGCCACTGTGCTCAGCTGAGAGTTGGGCTGTTTTTCTTTTGAAGTGTTATCTGTTGGGATTTATGCTTACCCTTTTTGTATTCAGAGTCATCCTAGCATTTCTAAGGTTAGGAAGCCACTGTGTCAAGAGCAAGGCCACCAGGCCACCTGCCCTACGTGGCCAGTCCATGGAGCAGGGGTGGAGGGCCATTCAAATCAGTCATTTAGCAGGACTGTGCTGGGTCAGTTCGATCCGCTGGCCTGGAAGGCAGGTCAGCTTGGTGCAAACCATGTGTCTGACCATCAGATTGCATTGGTGGCAGTCTCTGCTGTGAGTATCGCACTGAGGATAGAAGGGAGTCCCCTCTGCAATGGCAGGGCTCTAGGGCATAGCGCACGGGGTGGACTCCCCATGGGCCACTCAGAAAGGGCCTGGAGAACAAGGCACCCTGTGGGCCCAGGAAATAGTCCACCTGGCTCCACAGGCTGCGAAGGCTGTGCGCATCGGATGGCAGGTTTACCAGGAGGAGTGAGGCCTCCTGCCAGAGCCCCACCTGCATTCAGCCCGAGGCCAGGCCCCCCAGCTACTCTAACTACCCTGCTGAGACCCCCCCACTACTCACAGACCCGTTCAAGAAAAAGCTGTCCTCAGGGCCTCTCACACACTGGGAAATCTACTTGAAATGGAAACATTACTTTTTCTCATTTCTTGTAAAAGGCAACGGGCTGATGTTCATATATTTCTCTTGAATGCAGATTCGGTTTCACTCATTGTCCTGTCTTGGAAATCCCCACATAATGACGGCTTAAAGTAGGTTGACAGAGTCCTCCCTTGGAGTCTAGCTTGGAAAATCCTCACTGGGGAGGGGCAGGCCCACTTCTCTTTTTGGCAGATGGTTCCTAACTACGGAGGGACCAGATTGGGCGCCTGGCCCAGCAGTGCGCGCCAGTGTAACTGATGCGGAAACCGGGATTTGGAAAACACCGTCTTGGCTTTCCCTGGACTTTACACTCTAGAGGGCGAGGACTGTGGCCCAGTCACCTTCCCACACAGTGCAGAGCAGAAACTCCAGCCATGTTGTGTGGAACAGAACCATTTCCAATGGCTTCCGACTCTAGTTCCTGACGTAGTTTAAACTAATTTGGGCAGCCATGGCAGCAGAGGCCAGGAACAGTATTCAATACTTCCTGAACTTGCGATTCTCCCCCAACCCAGTTCGCATGAAGCAGCTTTGGAACATTTGTATCTGTGTAAAACTGAGAGACCTCAGTACACCCAGTCCCCTCTTCCAACACATGGGAGGTTCGAGGGTTCCATGTGAAAATACTTTTTATATGTTACAGTAAATCATTTGCAGCTATAAATCTGGAGATGTTTCAGCTTGTTTTGTTTCAGGAGGAATTTCTTAGGGGCACTTGGCCTACACCCTGTTTTTCTTCTAGAATTACCTGCTGTAAGGTCTGAAAAATTTTCAGTAAACAGATTCTGGCACAAATCAATGTGTCCTTTCCTGGAGAGGGGAAGAGATGGCTCTCTGGCCATGTCCTAACACCAGCCTGTCCTTATTGAAGAGGCACGAGTGTCTGTAGTCTAGGTTGTTTTCCAATTTAACCCACTAAACCAGTTAACCTCATTTCGTATGTGACAAGGGCTTTGATGTGGACAAGATGAGGCACAAACTTTTCATATAATTTCCACATTTTTAGCGACAGGTTTTTTTCCTCCAACAGTTTTCATCATAAAAGGTGACTAAACCAGCAAATGAGAAGACAAATCACATTGAAGAACATGAGCTATTGAAACTTACTTTTTATTATTTTTTCCAGTTACCCAGCATGCCACAATCTGATTGCTGACCTGGATGGAACAGAGTGAAATAAATGATTTACAAAGAGATATTTACATTCATCTGATTTAGACTGAATATGCCACAACGCACCACGACCTTCCCCGGGTGACACCGCCTCAGCCTGCAGGGGCTGGTCCTCCTCAGCACGTGCGCCATCGCTGCACGCAGCCGGGCTGGAGCTGGAGTCTGACTCCAGATGAGCAGAGCTCCTGGTGTATGTTTTCAGAAATGGCTTGAAGTTACGTGTTTCAATCTGCTCATTCGTATGCTAGGTTATACATATGATTTTCAATAAATGAACTTTTTAAAGACTTGAGTTGTAATGTTTCCTTTTTATCTTGTAGTGATGAACAAAACACACCAAAAAGGCACATATTTTAACTAGGCCAAAGTATATTAAGGACCAAACTTTTTTTCCTGCCATTCATTTTTCTTTTCATGATCTATATATCATCCTTCACCTTTAATCAATGTCCCATCAGACTCCATTTTATTTATTGTCCTAATTTGTGTACAATCAATCAATCAGGAGACACCAGGAAGCACTATGCATTACTCTTTCCATTCTGTTAAACAACGAAAACAGACAAAAAAGCATCTTTGGCTCGGTGGTGTCAGATTTTTTTCTTCAATATGCAGTATTTGAGAGGAGCCTAAAAACGTACTTAGTGAAATTAGAAAATTTACTTAGAGTATATCAAATATCTGTACACAGATAATTATTTGTCTAAAATAGTATTTCTACTATACACAGTTAAGCCCTCAAATGCTTGAAAGTAATAAAAATGGACACTGGACATACTGTGTTGTATCTGAGAATGACAAACACTAAAGGCAAGGCTGCAGTTGGGACAGGTCCCTGACCTTCGGCTACCCTGCTTGGCCAGCGAGCCGTCATCCTCATCCCCATCTCAACACAGAGCGGATGTCACCACACGCTCAGCCTTGCCTCTCGGAAGTGGTGTGGACTAGGCTTTGGAGGCGGTGGCATGATCTACACACACAGACCATTCGAATCTCTTGAGCGTGTAAAAGGCTCAAGCCTGAAACAGTAGAACTTCTATTCAGATTCAGAAGTTTTTCATCAAATGTGCTAGACATAAAGGCTGTCACATAAGATATTTTAATTGTCCTTAATTCTGTTTTAGATATACTGTGAATAAATTATACAATATTCTAAAAATAGCACCTTTAAAGAATTATAGAGGTCACTTTATTTTAGCCTCCTGGATCTGTCAACCCCAGTGGTTTTGAGAGAAGAGCACATGTGAGAATGCTCTCAAATTTGGCTGTGTGACGTACACATACGCGCTTGACTCACTCTGGTCCCAAAAGCCATTCCTCTGTCTGGCTTCATCACAGGAGCAAAGCCAAGTTTCTACAATAGTAGCTTTATGAGGTAAAATCAGAAAAAGGCCCCATCCAGAATGATTCAACGTGAAGTCAGACTGCAGTCCAGCCGTCCTACCCATCTACATCACCCGTGTCGAAGTTTGTTAATTTGCCATGACATGTTAGAAATACACTCTAAGAAAGGAAGTATGCAGAGCAGTACATTATCAGGAAGACATTAATGACAAGCTACATTCCTTCAGATTCTGGGTCCAAACCATGTGTTGTATAGATGATGAGGGTCTGAATGTCTCCAAGGTCTGAGACCTCCTCCATCCCTGGCTTCACAGAACATCCGTCCTAAATCCAGTGCTGAGAGTCAGCGTCTCCCCTCGGAAGCAGCCCTTCATCAAAGTTTGCGTAACCGCACTACCACCATTCCACTGAAGTAAAAAGGATCCCCTATGTGTGCTGGAGCTACAAGGAATTTGTATATTTTCCTGTCACATTTTATACAAGGTAGGTTAATACCAGCTGGGGCTATTAAAAATCTGTTTTCATTAAAGAAGATCTAATTTGGGGGGATTATAGAACCACATCCAACAACAATAAACAGAGAAGTAGCAGATTGACATAGTGCTTTATTTAAGCTGTCTGCACGAAGGAAAATCATGTTCATCCCTATCATATACGTGTAAAAATACTAAGGATGTACAGTGTACAAAAACAGTTTCTCCTAGTTATTTCACATCCTCGTGGGCCATATACTTAAGGAAATAGACAGTTTTAGTATGACCAACAGTAAGAGTAATACAGTTTCTTGGGTTTATAGTTGCATCTGCTTAAAATCCTTAACCAGATGACTAGATCTTGCACAGATCTAATGAAAGAACTAGCAAGGTCAAGAAATGTCACAAACTATAAAGCTACAGGGAGGTAATTCAATTACCAATTTAGAGGTTTTCTTTTTATTTAAATAAATACTTTACATTTCATGCTTGCCTGTAATGCACTACCAGGAGCAAGATGAGGAAATTCTACTGTGGACAGTACAAACAGTAGCAGCAAAGTGTGTACGCTGAGGTGTAATATAGAGACCCTGCAGTTAGTAAGGAAGGCCCTTACTTTTGTCCTCTAGGAGAAGCAAGTGGCCCCTGCAAGAACAGTCAGCTTGAAGAAGCTGGAAATCAGGGATGGGAAATGGAAAACAATACTTGAATAATGCTATGTAATTAGTGTAGAAAGCAAAGCTGAGCGTGACCCTGCCAACAATCCAAGCAGAAATGGCCAATTTCCTCCAAGATGGCTGCATTATGACAAGAAGTCAAGCTTCATGACAGTTAGTATGGGCTGGAGTCTGCGAAGTATGAACTGTATTCTCATAGAATGATTCCAGGTTTCAGGGTGTTCCACCTGCCAGAACCCAAAACTACAACTATGGGCGACACAAGGGAAGTTTTAGAAATCTCCCTGTACACACATTTCTGGTTTGCTATTATTCCTCCATGGCAGCTGACAGATCTGGAAGTGAAAATAGGGGATTCTCAAAATCGAAGCCAAGAAGACACGTTGTGTGACCCCCGTGGAGTCTCAGAGGCTGGAATGGAAGTGACCGAGCCCCAGGCGTGGCTGGGGACTGAGAGCCAGTGTGAGGAGTGGCCCGACTGGGGCAATGTCAGTGCCAGTCATTACACTTTAGGAAGTGTCCTTGGCCAAGGTCACGGGAATCACTTTAAGATCTGGGGGAAAAAACCAAAACAACACAAAGCTATGTGCTTAGTGCACGGCGCCATGCTTTCCCTCCAGAGGAGTGAGTGCTCTGAACATCAGCCAGTCTCAGCTTTCTGCTCCTCCTCTCACCTGTTTCTTTCTTATATAATGGATGCAAGACAACTTAAAGAACATACCTTCTAGTCTACTTTTTTGTCAAAATGAAACATTCAACATAATTCCAAGTGAAAAAAAAAATTAACTGTGTGTAAGTAAGAATGAACTACCATTTACTGTAACTTCCTACTCAATACTAAGGACGAACTTCACTCAGGTAGAAATATGAAAAATAAGGATAACATTGATGTCTGAATATGTCTTAGCTGCCTTAGTAAAATGCCCTTTAACCCCCGTCAGTCCCAGTGGCCCACCCACTGCCAGCAGTGGTTTCATAGCTATAAATCCACACTTCCAGCGTCAAGAGGCTAAGACATCTGCATATGAATATGATTCATCCTACTTAGAAAGTCACTTGCTCTTTCATACAACGCAATCATAATACTGCATCATGCTGTCGTCTTCCATTTGGGAGCTGTCAGAGAGTTTAACTAAAATCCATTTCCATGATCACTCCACGGAGTGGGTGGCCTTCTGCTTGCCGCAAGAATGGCCCCAGCCCCTAGGACTTCATAGGCTGCTTTGGAAATTGTCAGCTCCTAGCACCAAAGGGTTTAATCTGAAGATCATCATTAATGAAGGAGAAAGATGAGGTTTGCATACATGCCCCGTTTCAGTGAGAAATGTTGGAATCTGGGGACATGAGTATATACAGAAAAAGAAAAGCTGGAGGTGTTCTCTTTTTTTGTTGTTTTTTCCCTGATGGCTTAATTCAGTGATAAATGTACCATGATCCCAAGAAACACACCAGGTTCTTAGCCTTCACTGCCCACTTCCTAAATCCTCAAGATGTGTTCATTTTGCCATGTAAAGATCATTTCTTATCATCACTCAGGTCTCAATTTTCTTCATTACTTTTTGTTGCCAGGTCATCATAATGTTTCAATTCTTCAATGAGCAAACGTCAACAGCTATTTGTTTCATTAACCCCTTGGCATGGATAGTTGGGGATTTTCTCATTTTCAGTACCAAGGGGTTAAATGACAGCATCTCTTCTCCCAAAGCCAAATTCTAACCAATATATTCCATTTCAGAGCCTTACCGTTTTTTAACAGAGGAGAAAAAGTGCATGATTCTCATCAGCGTGTACAATCCTTGCACATGGGTCAAAAGAAACTGCAGTAAGTCTATTTTATATAGGTTGGAGCTGCGTTTGCTGACATGACATACAATTCTCATCACTAAAAAATAAATACTACTGCAATATAAACAAAATCATAAAAGGACATTCAAAGTTTTAACATCTGAGAAAAAGCTAATTCACGTAGAACTGAAAGTAAAAAATTAAATAAGGCAAACACCTGTTTACCTTGGTGTACAAATTTTGGTGAAAAGCAGTATCATTATACCTGTCTACATTCTTCAGCCATCAGAGGTGATAAATGTCAAGAAGGAAAAAAGGTTTCCAAGCACGGGGGAAAGATGCTCTCTGGCGCAAACTGTTTCATAAGACCCTGTAAGTGACCTTGGCTGTGCATGTGCCTTCGTTTCTTGGTAGAACAGTGTTCACTGGCTCATGATTGCCCGGGAGTCTCGACATCCACATGTGATATGGGCTTCTTCTACAGTATCCACCAGGAATTTAAAAATATATATCTATATATCTATATATCCCAACAGTTGTTCAGTCCTACCAAATGCTTCCTAATCAATTCCAGCCACAGCTTAGTGATATATACCTACTTCACGCATGGATCTGATGTGCTTTACATATGCACGCCACCACCCTTCCACAATTGCTTGTTCTGAATTGATAAACTATATCTTCTTAGTCTAGTTAGATTTTCTCTTCTAGAAAGTTAAAAAATGTACCTAGAATCAGTGTATCTCCTTTAGCCTTCACTGAGGGAAAAACTCAAAGATCAAAAGATGACAATTGGTGCACAAATGGACAATGGTGGGCTCATGACTTCCAAAGGCTGGAAAATTACTTCTGAAAGTTGCTATAATAGTAAGACAGTAGCAGCAACAGCATGAGACCTTAGACTGAGATACAATTTCATGCAAAAACAAAAACTGGAGTGTATTTGCGTGTATGTGTGTTTTCATGAGGGTGAAAGGTGGCGAGGGGTGAAGACCCTTGGCTGGTCTGGGATGTCGGAAGGTGCCCCTGCTATGTGTAAGAGCTAGGACTGGTGATGTCCAGGAATCATTTTCAGTAATAAATTGAAGATGACAGTGAAGTAGCAGAATGAAAGAGACTTATTCTCGTCCACTTGCAGAGTAGGAAAACTGAGGGAAATGCGGCCGCCTCTCATTGTCCATGCAGTCCATACCATCCTCATCATCTGTGGGCAGGAAACAGCTATTTTAATTTTACATTTATTTTTTGCAACATTATCTCTGGTCTCTGTTTTGTAAACTCTGAACATAGGAAAGATGAACAGAGGCAATAGCTCCTATAAACTTGTGTTTATCGATAAGCTATACAGTGCTTATACTTCCAAAATCATCTGATTTTCATAAATACATAGTCTACAAAGAAATAATCCTGTACAATCATCTCTAAGACATCAAAATTTCAAGACTCAACTCAGTGAAACAGTGAAAACAATGGTATTGAAGAAAACAGAAGTGTTTAAGAAGGAGCAGTCTTCAGTGACCTTTCGTTTCATGTAACCACATACATCAAAATTACAAGTCAGTGAAACCCACAGCATCCAAAGTCTGTAGAGAATCCATCATCAAATGTCTTCAAGTGCTTGTATTTTTTCTGTGTGAGGCTTTCAGTGCAATTGTAAAATAAAGCTTCCTATGAAATGTTATTCAACATCTAACATCTGGCTTAACTCACCTTTCCCAATTTCCCTATGTGAAAACTTTAGCATGAAGGGGCTAAGTGAAAGAAAAAGAGGGAAGGATGTCAACGTCTGAGGCCTGGCTCATCAGGAAACAACCGAAGAGACTTGAAAGGCATCAAAACAGGCCGCTTACACTCACAGTGTTCCTCCTCTCAGCTTTCCTGGTTTTCTCTATTTCAAAGATCACAGATGATCAGCACCCTCTTCTCAGAAGTGTCCTGTGGTGACAGTCCTGTGCTGTCGGAAGCTCTTCCGGATATGTGGCCACACGGTCAGCCACTCAGTCAACATGCACTCCCACACATCTGCTCTGGGCTGAGCACCCATCAGGCCCATGGACCGCGGCACTCTGAACAAAGTTCCCAAGGACCCCCCGGACTCACAGTCTCCTGGGGGAGCTGCTCCACTTTCAGCCCCCCGTCCTCTCCTCTAAGCTTAATTATATGCTGTCCTGCAATGGAAATCAGTGAATCTTCCCAATACTCAACCCTTTTCTCTTCAAGCAAAGTAATTCAGTTTCCTCAAACCCATATAGGAAGTACATTACCAATTTTTTAAAAATATTCTAACCTCTCCAGGGAGCATCAGCTGGACGTGGGTGTAAACAAAGCAAGCATATAGGCCAGATCCCACTGCACTGAGGCTCTGACTCTGTCACCCTGAAGAGGAGGATGCTCGGCCTTTGTCTGAAGAATAAACACTTCCATTCTTGTCTCACTGTTTTTCTTTTCTGTATCCCATTCTTAATGCAGAAGATTCTAAGAAATGGGATTCAAGCTGGCATTAGCCCAAATATTTGACCTCTACTGTATCAGAAGATATCCTTGCATTAGGTAAGATTTGGGGCTCCCTGCTCTGTGGAAGACACTGAACTCGGAGGCCCTCTCTCCTGCAGCAAATAGACCACTGGAACTGCAGTCGGCATTGCTAGAAGGTATTGAGGTTTGGGGAAATCTCTACCTCCTTATAAAGTTATTGGTTCCAATATTTGTACCAAGCAAGTCACATGCATCTTTTAGATCAAATACCTTCAGCAGTTTTTTTAGCTACAGTAGAAACGGAAGGAGCTGGGAATGATGGTGTATCCGTGGTTGAGCCACAGAGTATAAACACTCTCTAGAGAATACAGGCAGCTAAAACCTTCATGGTCAGATTCTGACATGTGCCAATCACATTTCAAATAAACCATTTTCCTCACCAACAGCTTTATTTTGCTCAGTGTTTCTGCACAGCAAACATGCAGCTGGCTCTGGACAGCAGTGGGGAGCCTGGTGCTTGTCCTGCTCAGCCAGGAAGGGCAGGAGAGCTGCCTGGGCTCCTGGGGCCATGACCAGGACTCACTCTAGCCCGGCGAGGTTCAGCATCCAGGTTAGCCAGACGCTCCACAGGGGCAGGTGCTGTGGACACTCTTTTGGAAGAGGAGGGACTCTTGCTGGGTGTCAGCTAAGAATTGAGAGAGAGCCTTCACTCTCACTTCAGTAACACATTCCTCGCAATTCTGAATCTAGGAAATTTCACAGATATCCCTGAGGGCTCCAATCCTTGATATTCTTTAAAGCCAATGATCCCCCTCCATCATTCCAGCCCTTTTCTGTTGGCAGGCTTGGTAACAATGAGGTGTGAACATCTGATCATGGCCCTAAAAGAGTTGAGAGCCTGGGCAGGATGGTGGGAGGGGAGCTGGAGGAAGTGGCAGCTGACTCTGAGTCGGAGCCTGTCAATGTACACAAGTTAGTTCCTGCTGTGAGAGGCTGTGCATAGGGAATAGTGATGATAATGAGCATGAACTATGTTTTTCAAAAACACTTATCTGGAAAAAGAAGACCATGATCAACTCTACATGAGGAACATCAGTTGCCTGATTTTCTTAGAACATTTAACAAACGTCATTATATGGCAGTAAAAGTGACCAGATCTCAAAGAAACCCTCTTTTTCTGTAAGGGGAAGGCAGAGGACCATCAATGGCAATAACGAAAGATGACACATTCCCAAATCTGTTCCATTGTTAATGCCAGTGAGGACAATCTGGCATGCCACTGCAGCTGTTTGTAGAAAATGGGACATTTTGCCTTTCTAACTGCTGATGTGTTCTGAACAGTAACTGTACTCTGTTTTATACAAGCAAGGTGGCAAGTGGGAAGACAACTGCTAACGACGGTGCTACCTTGGACTTGGACCAACGAAACCCCTGTGTGTTAGCAGTTAGGGAGCTGCAATGGTTTCTTACCAATTAAACTATTCAAAGCAGCAAGAAAAAGGTTATGTTCAATGTAATCACCGTTTTAAGGTTTCACTGATTCTCATTTTTATCTGCCCCTTAAGGGAATCTAGGATGGATCCAGGAACTGTCAAACTAAAAACACCGCACCTTTGCCCTAGAACAACCCAGAAGCTGCAGGTCACCACCATCGAGGCTGCTCCCCTAAGACAGGAGGCCCAGGGCCCCGTGGCCCCCAGTGCGGAGCGCTGCGCGGTGCTGAGCCACACACACAGACAGCAGGAGCGGCTGCTGAACAGAGGTGCCTGCAGATGCGTCGATGCTGGTCTTTGCCTGGGCACACTCTGCTGAGCTCTGTCATCTGACTTTCCTTTCTACAGAGGTCCTGAATCGGGAAAAACACAGGAAGTCCACAGCGCCCTCCCCACCCCTCAATTGTGGGGTGCCCTGTCAGACACAGATGACACTGCTGGGCTCTCGTTGCCATCCTGTCCGGGGCCCAGGGGCAGGGCAGGACCACACCCCATTTCTGACACCCACAAAAGCCAGACTTTTCTTTAAAGACAGAGTCTTGCACGGTTGCCCAGACTGGAGGGCAGGGTTGTGATCTCAGCTCACTGCAGCTTCCGCCTCCTGGGTTCAAGCGCTTCTCCTGCCTCAGCCTCCCGAGTGGCTGGAATCACAGGCATGCGGCCCCACGCCTGGCTAATTTTTGTATTTTTTGTGGAGAGGGGGTTTTACCATGTTGGCCAGGCTCGTCTCAGGCTCCTCCTGACCTCAGGTGAGGCGTGCACCACTGTGCCTACACAAAAAGCCAGACTTCCGTGGGCCGACAATTGCAGGCGGATTTTGATAACCATCTTGGAAGTTACTACACTGTACAGGCTTCGTAGGTATCTCTGTCTCAATCTAGAAGTGAACCTAGGATCATTTAAAGACACCAAGGTTGTAGGGCTTTTACAGCATGGCCCATGTCTGAAAGGACGTATGTTATTTAATAATGGAGTTGCTGTTACTGGTAAAATATGACATGCCAGGAAAAACATTCCTGATGGCTTTTATATTGCTCATTAATGAAGCCAAGGAACTAGGTTCAAATTATGTTCTAGAAACTGTGCTGGGGGACTTCTAACACTTTCTAACATTTCAGTCTCATTTTAGAAGTCCTAGAAATTGAGCAATAAAATGCAAACTAACGACAAATTCTCATCAGGACAAGTGCCCCGTGGGTGTGGTGTAAGGAATAAGGCAGGTAAGATGAATTTCGCAGAGATTCTGGTCCTTGAAAGCTAGGGCTTTGAAATTCAAGTCAATCATGAAAAAATAACTAAGAGGCATATACAACAGTTTCTAATTGACCTTATTTGTAACCAAATCCATTTTGATTTGCTCTGGTCTTTCCAGTCCCACATTTCCGAGCACAGCATTAGTTGGCCCTGTCCGCCGGCCCTCCACTATGCCAGCCCTCCACTACGCCAGCCCTCCACTACGCCAGCCCTCCACTACGCCAGCCCTCCACTACGCCAGCCCTCCACTACGCCAGCCCTCCACTA